ACATGACACATTGAAGGATAAGAGTAAAACATCAGATCAGCTCTCAACAAACTACATGAACAGATTCTCCTCATTTATTAAATGTAACATTGTTCATATGCAATATCATTGCTTTAATATTTTTGTATGTATTGTCTATTACACTGGCTATTTCACATTTGCACAAATGCATGTAGTCATATAGTTAATTCTAATATACACTGAGTGTACAAAACATTAAGAACACCTCTCTTTCCATGACATAGACTGACCAGGTCAATCCAGGTGAAAACTATGATCCCTTATTGATGTCACTTGTTAAATCCACTTCAATCAGTGTAGATAAGGGGGGGGGGGGACAGGTTAAAGAAGGATTTTTAAGCCTTGAGACAATTGAGAAATGAATTATGTAAGTGTGCCACTCAGAGTGTGAATGGGCAAGACAAAAGATTGAAGTGCCTTTGAACGCCAGGCGCACTGATTTGTGTCAAGAACTGTAACGCTGCTGGGTTTTTCCCTGTAGCTCAGTTGGTAGAGCATGGCGCTTGCAACGCCAGGGTTGTGGGTTTGTTTCCCACGGGGGGCCAGTATGAAAATGTATGCACTCACTAACTGTAAGTCGCTCTGGATAAGAGCGTCTGCTAAATGACTAAAATGTAAAAAAAATGTAATGTTTTTCACGCTTAACAGTTTCCCGTGTGTGTCAAGAACAGTCCACCACCCAAAGGACATCCAGCCAACTTGACACAACTATGGGAAGCGTTAGAGTCAACATGGGCCAGCATTCCTGTGGAACGCTTTGGACACCTTGTAGAGTCCATGCCCTGACGAATTGAGGTTGTTCTAAGGGCAAAAGGGGGGTGCAACTCAATATTAGGAAGGTGACCTCAATGTTTTGTACACTCTGTCAATATGAACAGATAACAAAGCAACATTTTGTCATCCTCAGCAGGGTAGAGGGCAATTCCACATTAACAGACCGATGCTGAGACTCAGATATTTCACTTTAAAATGTATGTCAAACAAAAACCAATGATTGCAAAGTTAAACAAACCATACAACTTCATGCTCAAGGATTACTTTTAACAAGTCTGAAAAGTCTCAGCATCACTCTTGTACCTTGGAATTGCCCTAGACTATTACAAGCCCCATTCTTTTTCACTTTACTTTATATATTATTATCTGGTATGTTATAGTCTTAATACAAAATATACAGCATTTCATCAAAACGATAATTCAATTCTTAATATATGATAAACACAGATTCTTAAAAATAAATATGACAAAAGAGCAATACATAAAATGTAAGTACATGGCCATTAACATATTAATTGTGTTAGAATAATATTTCAGTTTCAGTAAACCTGGAAATCATACATTAGAACCCTGGTTATCATATGTTTACATTATTGATATCATCATCTGTAATATATCGTCTCTTCTTCCATTAAGAAAATATAACCATGTCAAAATCGAAACAATAGCTGAATGTTGTTTTTGGTGGACCATGTCAACAGCCAAACAAAACAACATTGTCTTCCATGATATGTTTCAATGTCCTTCACAGCATACTGTAAAACTTGTTACTCACTGAATATAAATATTTACAGAAAACGGTCATGTACAATGTACCTTTTTGCAATAATAACTATAATTTGCATAATCATTTTAATAAATACATCTGACTTTGAAGTTAAACGCCACAGAGGAAGTACACAAATTGTATTACTTGGTATTATTTACATGTACTGTACATGTGCTGTATGTTTAGAAGGAGAACTGGGGTGAGCCAGCAGTCGGAACAGTGGCTCAAAAGCTAGGATTGGCAGATCCCATCTTAGGTTTGATGATGACAATTAATATATTACCTGTGCCTAAGAAATTCACCAAAATCATATCTCCACATTTCCAATCTCATTCACTACTTGTCACATTTTCTTTAACGACTGCCATTGGCTACATGCTTTGCAATGGCAGGATGTAACGCCACATAATATATACTAGTAATGTCAATATGTTCCAGACAACATGGTTACTAATAGAGCACAGACACTACGGCTTCACACATTTATCTCATAGGAAATAGGAGGCTAATAAATTCCCCTTTCTTTCCATTGTGAATGGTATAGGGCAAAATGATGGTGAGGTGAATCAAAGAGATGGTACAACTGCTTAGTATTTGTGTATGATACAAAGCGTTTGGTGGTAACCTTCAGAACATCTGAAACTAATGGTAAACAGTAAACAAGACATTTTGTGCCTCAGGTTTCTGGCCCACACTTGTCATACTTGAGTAAAAGTAAAGATACCTTTAATAGAAAATGACCCAAGTAAACGTGAAAGTCACCCAGTAAAATACTACTTGAGTAAAAGTCTAAAAGTATCTGGTTTTAAATATACTTAAGTATCAAAAGTAAAAGTAAATGCTTTAAAACTTTTCAAATTCCTTATAATAAGCAAACCATATGGTAAATTTTTTTATTTATATATTTTTACAGACAGCCAGGGGCACACTCCAACACTCAGACATCATTCACAAACAAAGCTTTTGTGTTTATAATAATAATAATATGCCATTTAGCAGACGCTTTTATCCAAAGCGACTTACAGTCATGTGTGCATACATTTTTACGTATGGGTGGTCCCGGGGATCGAATCCACTACCCTGGCGTTACAAGCGCCATGCTCTACCAATTGAGCTACAGAGGACCACATTGAGTCCGCCAGATCAGAGGTAGTAGGGATGGCCGCGTGTTCTCTTGATAAGTGCATGAATTAGACAATGTTCCTGACCTGCTAAGCATTCAAAATGTAACAAGTACTTTAGGGTTTTCAGGGAAAATGTAGTGGAGTAAAAGTAAAAGTTGTCAAAAATATAAATAGTAAAGTACAGATACCCCCCCAAAATACTTAAGTAGTACTTCAAAGTATTTTTACTTATACTGAACAAAAATATGAACGCAACATGTAAAGTGTTGGTCCCATGTTTCATGAGCCAAAATAAAATATCCCAGCAATGTTCCATACGCACAAAAAGTTTATTTCAATAAACTTTTGTGCACAAATTTGTTTATATCCCTGTTAGTGAGCATTTCTCCTTTGCCAAGATAATCCATCCACCTGACAGGTGTGGCATATCAAGAAGCTGATTAAACAACATGAACATTACACAGGTGCACCTTGTGCTGGGGACAATACTGATACCACTCTAAAATGTGCAGTTTTGTCACACAATGCCACAGATGTCTCAAGTTTTGAGGGAGCGTGCAATTGGCATGCTGACTGCAGGAATGTCCACCAGAGATGTTGCCAGAGAATTTAATGTTCATTTCTCTACCATAAGCCGCCTCGAACGTCGTTTTAGAGAACATGGCAGTACGTCCAACTGGCCTCACAACCGCAGACCACATGTAACCATGACAGCCTAGGACCTCCACATCCGGCTTCTTCACCTGCGGGATCGTCGGAGACCAGCCACCTGGACAGCTGATGAAACTGAGGAGTATTTCTGTCTGTAATAAAGCCCTTTTGTAATAAAGCCCACCCATGGCTGCACCCCTGCCCAGTCATGTGAAATCCATAGATTAGGGCTTAATTTATTTATTTAAATTTACTGATTTCCTTATATGAACTGTAACTCAGTAGAATCGTTAAAATTGTTGCATGTTGCATTTATATTTTTGTTCAGTATAGTTCCACATCATCCAGCGGGACTGCAGTAGCGAGAGTCAGCAGTTTTAAGTTCCTCGGCATCCATATCACCGAGGACTTGACATGGACCAACAACACCACCACAACAGTGCCTCTACTTCCTAAGGCGGCTGAAGAAATTCGGCATGCCACCCTGGGTCCTCTCCACATACTTCTGCTGCACCATTGAGAGTGCCCTGACTGGTTGCATCACGGTCTGGTACAGGAATTGCTCCATCCACGACCGCAAGTCACTCCAGCAGGTGGTGAAGACGTCCCAGTACATCACTGGGACCGTGCTCCCACCCATCCAGGACATCTACTTGAAATCTACTTGCCTGAGGAAATCTCGCAGCATCATCAAGGACCCCACCCATCCCAGCCACGATCTGTTCACTCCCTTACCGTCGGGCAGAGTATGAGGACTGATACCAACAGGCTCAGTGGCAGTTTCTATCCACAAGCCATCAAACTGCCGAACAGTTTAACTGGACTGACCACCTGCACTGACTCTCCGCACCTTAGCACACACACACACAGTACATTCATGCTACACACACATCACAACTACTGCTACCAGGCTCTTATTTACTATTGCTAATATTGCACAATTGAAACACTTGCCCCCCAATCATCCCTTCCTCTGATACACGTGTAAATATTGGACTATAAATTGTGCCTTCCTGTATTATACTTATGCAACAAACAAAAAAATATTCTACTGCCATTTACTTTATTGTTCGTATTCTTATCTTTTATTATTTCTTATTGTTGTTGCATTGTCGAGAAGGAAACTGCAAGTAAGCATTTAGTTGGACGGTGTATACCATGTGTATCCTGTACATACGACTAATAAAATGTGAAACTTAAAACTAGTTACTTTACATCACTGAATGCCCATTCGTCCAGTTGACAGTTTTAGTAACAGGGGGTTCGGTCTGTGCTGGATCTCAGGACAGAATGGTAATTGAATGTACAAAACATTAAGGACACCTGCTCTTTCCATGACATGGATTGACCAGGTGAATCCAGGTGAAAGCTATAATCCCTTATTGATGTCACTTGTTAAATCCATTTCAATCAGTGTAGATGAAGGGGAGGACACAGGTTAAAGAAGGATTTTTAATCCTTGAGACAATTGATGAAGGTGTTCTTAATGTTTTGTAGACTCAGTTTATGTCTCTGGATCAAAAAAGACATGTTATTTTGGTTCCTTTTTGTCAGTTTAATTTGTCACTGGATTGAGTGTGAAAGGACAACGAAGAAAACTATTTTCCCCTCTGGTAGTGGAGGACAGGGCTTTCTACTTCATACCTCTACGGAGCATCTGGTTAGCTGCAATAAGCATTACGCTGATGATAAATGGCGAAGGCGAAAGCACAAATCAGACTCTTCCGCACACAAGTGTGCTTCACCTGTTGTGTTGGGCTCGCTGTGAAGAGAGAGAGAAAAATAGAGAGAAAATGACAGAGAGAGAAATCTATCAGCAAAACAATACACAATACATTGTACTTCATCGATTACAAGACTTCGTAAGACAGTAGCATGAATTTTGCTCATAAGAAATATTGCATAGCTGTATTTATCAACAATGTGTAAACAAGACTGGGCTGGTTGAAAGCTCTTACTGTCAATGTCCACTTGGCACACTTGGTTGTCCAGGTGGCTCTCTTCGGTCATGATGATGTTCTCAATGTCTTTCATGGTGAGGTGGTCACAGAAGGTGTCATACAGCAGCCTCTTCAGCTCATCTACTGTTAGCTTCGACATGTCACACTGGGGGATAGTACCAGACACAAACTAGCTAGGTTTCCCTCCATCTGGCGACAGATTTGAATGTGAATATTCTAAAATACACATAAAGAAAATATGCCAATTTTCCCACCAGTGGTGTGTTCCCACCAAACGGACTTGTTGTGGATAAAAATTAGCATGTGATGACGCACTGCACACAAAAATAAATGTTTTCCTTAAGTTTTCATGTACCGAATAAAAATCTAAAGTTCAATGTGTTTCCATCGCATTTTCCACTCTACCAATAGTTTTGTCACAAAAACGGTTGCGTTAAATAGCAAATGTGCCTACTCTGGTCTTGGCACATGTGCTCTAGCCAACAACGGATACAGTGCGGGTAGGCTAGTCTACATGATGAGATTATTATGGATAAGAGCGACAATATTATTTTTTGGTCAAACATCAGTCAAGCATCGATCATCATGTCACCAGAATAAGACCCTTGATATTTATTGGAAAGGAGCATTAAGCTCATCACCTTGCACTTTCACCACCCTGTGAAGTTCATCATAACTTATTTAATCTGTAGCCTAATAAACTGCATGCTTTCCTGATGAGTTGTAGTGGGAGGACCACACAACATGTCAACATGTGACTCCAAGTTTACTTTGATATGATGGTTATTATATCCATATTTGCGCATATAAGCGTTTCCCACTGACATTTCTCGCACAATCAACTTTACAGACACAAAAAGATTCCACCTTGTCTAGTGTATTTTGTTTTGATGACATTTGGACATTTCCTGACAAATTTTCTGTTTCCATTAGGCCTGTTGTGACATTTTTATTTCGCCATGTACTTTACTCTCATAAAAAAGTTGGATGGAAACTTGGTTACTGACCACGAGTACAGGTGTCTGTCTGCATATCAATCTTTGAGCAAGGTTACACGGGAGCATTTCTATGTTAGACAATTATAAGAGGTGCAAGGGTTTCTATCTCAACACAGACACATGGATGTAAATCAGAGGAGGCTGGTGGGAGGAGCTATAGGAGTACAGGCTCATTGTAATGTCTGGAATGGGAATGAATGGATCGGTATCAACTACATCAAACATATGGAAACCACATGTTTGATTCTGTTCCATATATTCCATTCCAGCCATTACAATGAGCCCGTCCTCCTATAGCTCATCCTCCAGCCTCCTCTGATGTGAATTATTTGTACTGTTATAAAGTTTAAAATCATGAACAGCTCCCTGACTATTATGACATCCAATGTCATGATCTATGCATCACAGAGTGATGAAGAATTTAAACGATAAAGCGACTAATAAAGTTGTTGTATTAATTGTCAGAACATTGCTCTGGAATACTCTCTCTCTCATGGAGAAATTTAATAGAAATTTGAATCTCTGGGGAACGATTGCAACGCCAATTAGGAATATAATACGTGATGTCACAACGACAGTGGAATTGGCCTTTCTTTAATGACTCATTTAGCTCCTATCATGTTTTTATGGTAATTCTAATTAGACTGACTGTGGTTTATTATCACAAAAGCTTTAAAAGCCCTCAGGAAAATCATCTCACTCTGATTAGGAAATATTAAGCCATAATTAACTCTGATAAAGAAAGAAGTGGTAGGCCTGGTCACCGACAACGATGAGACAGCCTATAGGGAGGAGGTCAGAGACTTGGCCGTGTGGTGCCAGGATAACAACCTCTCCCTCAACGTGATCAACACAAAGGAGATGATTATGGACTACAGGAGGACCGAACACGCCCTCATTCTCATCGACGGGGCTGTAGTGGAGCAGGTTGAGAGCTTCAAGTTCCTTGGTGTCCACATCACCAAAAAACTATCATGGTCCAAACACACCAAGACAGTTGTGAAGAGGGCACGACAAAGCCTATCCCCCCTCAGGAGACTGAAAAGATTTGGCATGGGTCCTCAGATCTTCAAAAAGTTATACAGCTGCACCATCGAGAGCATCCTGACTGGTTGCATCACTGCCTGATATGGCAACTGCTCGGCCTCCGACCGCAAGGCACTACAGAGGGTAGTGCGTACGGCCCAGTACATCACTTGGGCCAAGCTTCCTGCCATCCAGGACCTCTATACCAGGCGGTGTCAGAGGAAGGCCCTAAAAATTGTCAAAGACTCCAGCCACTCTAGTCATTGACTGTTCTCTCTGCTACCACACGGCAAGCGGTACCGGAGTGCCAAGTCTAGCTCCAAAAGGCTACCCACAAGCCATAAGACTCCTGAACAGCTAATCAAATGGCTACCCAGACTATTTGCATTGCTACTCTGTTTATTATCTATGCATAGTCACTTTAACTCTACCAACATGTACATATTACCTCAATTACCGCGACTAACCTGTGCCCCCGTACATTGACTCTGTACCGGTACCCCCTGTATATAGCCTCACTCCTGTTATCTTACTGCTGCTCTTTAATTATTTGTTATTTCATTTGTATTTTTTATTTTCTACTTATCTATTTTTTACTTAACACTTATTTTTCTTAAAACTGCATTGTTGGTTAAGAGCTTGTAAGTAAGCATTTCACTGTAAGGTCTACACCTGTTGTATTCGGGGCATGTGACAAATACAATTTGATTTGATTTGATTTTAAGAGAATGAGACTCCATAGATGAGGCTTCTGATAGTGATACTAGTGATACTTTACCTTCCAAAATACAGAGTCAAAGTTCGCCCCATGGAACTTATCAGGCATCCCAGCAGCAATAAGTTTTGGTCCAAGCAGTGCAACAAATTCGTCAAAGTCAACCTGGCCATCACCTGCAGGGACAGGAGAGTGGATATTTCGTAAATCGTTTTGTCAGCCAGACACTTTTACACATGTAATGGGGCCAATGATTTTTCTGGAATTATCTCAGTGAACCACATTTAAAATTGCTTGTGTTTGGGACTCACCATCCATGTCCAGCCTTTGGATAATAATCTCCAGCTCCACCTCATTGGGCATGTATCCCAGCGACCGCATGGCCACCCCCAACTCCTGCTTTGAGATGTACCCGTTTCCATCTCGGTCAAACACCTTGAAAGCTTCACGGATCTCTGTGGGGAAATGGAGGGACAAAACTCAGATAGGAGGATTGTGACTAGTCTGATATTCTATTTCTAATGCACTGATCATTTCTAGTTCACATTTCCCCACCACACAACAGAGCTGTCCTGACCTCTCAAACCACTCATAGAGAACTGTTAATAATGCTCAGACTCAGAGTTATGTGGCGTTATGTTCACGTTAATAATGCTGACTTAGAAATATGTGGCGTCATGTTCATATCTTATTGCAGCTAGTTGGCTGATATTTGTATCGCTCAGCTGAATTTGTAGAGCTTTAAATCTCAGAGTGTTTGTTTGCATCAAACAGCAGAGGGACTGACATTTTACATCTGTGATGCCAACTGTACCTTATTCACTTCAAACAGAATACTATAGCACAAGAGGAGCCTAATAGCAGTAGCTAGGGGTTACGGAATAGTTTCCATACCAGATCTGGAGGGTTGCAAATAAACAAAATGCTCATCAATATGGTAAGGGAGTTTGTAGATTTGTTTGGATAAGGCTTGTAATATCCTTGACCTGGAGTGTACTTAGATAAAGTATATCACCACTGAGGTTTTGAGCCATCTGGCCAGGCTCAGTAAAAGACAACAGCTAAGAAGGCGAGGGCCTATCAGAATCAGCTAGTACAAAGTGAGCATATTATGCATACAGTCATATAAGATTTCAGCACGTCAAACTTCAACAATACTGTGCTCAAATGAGGTATACCACTTTCCTTTCACCTCAAATTAATTTCAAACGCTAAACTCAACCCACGCATAATCCATGCAAATGCCACTTTAAATCCACATTTGGTGGTGAATAGTCTTTCTAGTGCCAAAGAGGCTTTAAATATTGTAGTTACCAAATTGTAACAAGACTCAAGGGGTTTGAAAATGACAAACTAAGTGGATAATGTGTTTCGAGGAACTGGTTTTTATATTCCCATGCTGAATGTATAATCCAGGGAGGCTGTTACTTAAACAGTAGAACAATTGAATGGATCCTAAATCAGTCGTAACTGAGGCCATTTATATTTAGTGAGTTGAGACAAAGTCCAAAGGATTTGCACATTTCACTATGGCTTGTGTGTACTCACATCACATACAAAATGATCCAATACATATTTGATTGCTATATGTACAGTGGGGAAAAAAAGTATTTAGTCAGCCACCAATTGTGCAAGTTCTCCCACTTAAAAAGATGAGAGAGGCCTGTAATTTTCATCATAGATACATGTCAACTATGACAGACAAATTGAGAAAAGAAAATCTAGAAAATCACATTGTAGGATTTTTTATGAATTTATTTGCAAATTATGGTGGAAAATAAGTATTTGGTCACCTACAAACAAGCAAGATTTCTGGCTCTCACAGACCTGTAACTTCTTTTTTAAGAGGCTCCTCTGTCCTCCACTCGTTACCTGTATTAATGGCACCTGTTTGAACTTGTTATCAGTATAAAATACACCTGTCCACAACCTCAAACAGTCACACTCCAAACTCCACTATGGCCAAGACCAAAGAGCTGTCAAAGGACACCAGAAACAAAATTGTGGACCTGCACCAGGCTGGGAAGACTGAATCTGCAATAGGTAAGCAGCTTGGTTTGAAGAAATCAACTGTGGGAGCAATTATTAGGAAATGGAAGACATACAAGACCACTGATAATCTCCCTCGATCTGGGGCTCCATGCAAGATCTCACCCCGTGGGGTCAAAATGATCACAAGAACGGTGAGCAAAAATCCCAGAACCACACAGGGGGACCTAGTGAATGACCTGCAGAGAGCTAGGACCAAAGTAACAAAGCCTACCATCAGTAACACACTACGCCGCCAGGGACTCAAATCCTGCAGTGCAAGACGTGTCCCCCTGCTTAAGCCAGTACATGTCCAGGCCCGTCTGAAGTTTGCTAGAGTGCATTTGGATGATCCAGAAGAGGATTGGGAGAAATGTCATATGGTCAGATGAAACCAAAAATATAACTTTTTGGTAAAAACTCAACTCGTCGTGTTTGGAGGACAAAGAATGCTGAGTTGCATCCAAAGAACACCATACCTACTGTGAAGCATGGGGGTGGAAACATCATGCTTTGGGGCTGTTTTTCTGCAAAGGGACCAGGACGACTGATCCGTGTAAAGGAAAGAATGAATGGGGCCATGTATCGTGAGATTTTGAGTGAAAACCTCCTTCATCAGCAAGGGCATTGAAGATGAAACGTGGCTGGGTCTTTCAGCATGACAATGATCCCAAACACACCGCCCGGGCAACGAAGGAGTGGCTTCGTAAGAAGCATTTCAAGGTCCTGGAGTGGCCTAGCCAGTCTCCAGATCTCAACCACATAGAAAATCTTTGGAGGGAGTTGAAAGTCCGTGTTGCCCAGCGACAGCCCCAAAACATCACTGCTCTAGAGGAGATCTGCATGGAGGAATGGGCCAAAATACCAGCAACAGTGTGTGAAAACCTTGTGAAGACTTACAGAAAACATTTGACCTGTGTCATTGCCAACAAAGGGTATAGAACAAAGTATTGAGAAACTTTTGTTATTGACCAAATACTTATTTTCCACCATAATTTGCAAATAAATTCATTAAAAATCCTACAATGTCATTTTCTGGATTTTTTCTTCTCATTTTGTCTGTCATAGTTGACGTGTACCTATGATGAAAATTACAGGCCTCTCTCATCTTTTTAAGTGGGAGAACTTGCACAATTGGTGGCTGACTAAATACTTTTTTTCCCCACTGTATCTCTCCAGATTAAATCTTGCGATTTGTGACGGCCGGCCGCCCAACAACCTGCCCACTTGACCGATCCCCTCCTCTCTTCTCCAGACCATTTCCGGAGGCCTTCTCCCTTACCTCACCTCGCTCATCAACTCATCCTTGACCACTGGCTATGTCCCTTCCGTCTTCAAGAGAGCAAGAGTTGCACCCCTCCTCAAAAAACCTACACTCGATACCTCCGATGTCAACAACTACAGACCAGTAACCCTTCTTTCTTTTCTCTCCAAAACTCTTAAGCGTGCCGTCTCTAGCCAACTCTCCTGCTATCTCTCTCAGAATGACCTTCTTGATCCAAACCAGTCAGGTTTCAAGACTGGTCATTCAACTGAGACTGCTCTTCTCTGTGTCACGGAGGCTCTCTTCACTGCTAAAGCTAACTCTCTCTCCTCTGCTCTTATCCTTCTAGACCTATCTGCTGCCTTTGATACTGTGAACCATCAGATCCTCCTCTCCACCCTCTCCGAGTTGGGCATCTCCGGCGCTGCTCACTCTTGGATTGCGTCCTACCTGACAGGTCGCTCCTACCAGGTGGCGTGGCGAGAATCTGTCTCCACACCACGTGCTCTCACCACTGGTGTCCCCCAGGGCTCAGTTCTAGGCCCTCTCCTATTCTCTCTATACACCAAGTCACTTGGCTCTGTCATATCCTCACATGGTCTCTCCTATCATTGCTACGCAGACGACACACAATACATTTTCTCCTTTCCCCCTTCTGATAACCAGGTGGCGAATCGCATCTCTGCATGTCTGGCGGACATATCAGTGTGGATGTCGGATCACCACCTCAAGCTGAACCTCGGCAAGACGGAGCTGCTCTTCTTCCCGGGGAAGGACTGCCCGCTCCATGATCTCGCCATCACGGTTGACAACTCCATTGTGTCCTCCTCCCAGAGTGCAAGGAACCTTGGCGTGACCCTGGACAACACCCTGTCGTTCTCCACTAACATCAAAGCGGTGACCCGATCCTGTAGGTTCATGCTCTACAACATTCGCAGAGTACGACCCTACCTTACACAGAAAGCGGCACAGGTCCTAATCCAGGCACTTGTCATCTCCCGTCTGGATTACTGCAACTTGCTGTTGGCTGGGCTCCCTGCCTGTGCCATTAAACCCCTACAACTTATCCAGAACGCTGCAGCCCGTCTGGGGTTCAACCTTCCCAAGTTCTCTCATGTCACCCCGCTCCTCCGCACACTCCACTGGCTTCCAGTTGAAGCTCGCATCTACTACAAAACCATGGTGCTTGCCTACGGAGCTGTGAGGGGAACGGCACCTCCTTACCTTCAGGCTCTGATCAGACCCTACACCCAAACGAGGGCACTACGTTCATCCACCTCTGGCCTGCTAGCCCCCCTACCTCTACGGTAGCACAGTTCCCGCTCAGCCCAGTTAAAGCTATTCGCTGCTCTGGCACCCCAATGGTGGAACAAGCTCCCCCACGACGCCAGGACAGCAGAGTCACTGACCACCTTCCGGAGACACTTGAAACCCTACCTCTTTAAGGAATACCTGGAATAGTATAACAGTAATCCTTCTACACCCTCCCCCCCCCCCCTCCCCCAGTGGTGGTTGTCCCACTGGCTATCCTGAGTTGAATGCACCAATTTGTAAGTCGCTCTGGATAAGTGCATCTGCTAAATGACTTAAATGTAAATGTAAATGTATGGGATCCGAATTACAATATGCTAGTGAAGTAATTATCTGTCAAAAACCACAACTTCATTTTTTGACAGGAGAATTGTAACAGAAATAGCATGCAAACCAATTAGCCTACACTCCCATTACCTTTGTTGTGATTAATAATTTGAGCACTTGTGTGCATGTGTTAACCTTCTGTTAAATGCAAAAAAGGCATATCGGAACCTCTTTGGTGTACTGAGGGCTGAAATGAGACGTGTCCCTGTCTGCGGCAAGGGTCAGACTGACCCTACTGCTCTGGGACACAACAGCAGGATCAAGACAAATCTTCTGCTGCAATAGCCAATCCGTGACTAGGACCAACGAGTTGTGCATTCCGAGATGTGTTCTGCACACTACTGTTGTACTGCATCATTATTTGCCTGTTTGTGGCACGCCTGTTAGCTTGCACGAATCTTGCCATTCTCCTTCAAAGTCTCTCATCAACTAGCTGTTTTTGACGACACGACTGCCGCTGACTTGATGTTTTTTGTTTGTCGCACCATTCTCGGTAAACCCTAGACACTGTCATGCGTGAAAATCCCAGGAGGCCGGCCATTTCTGAGTTACTGGAACTGGCGCACCTGGCACCAACGATCATACCACGCTCAAAGTCGCTTAGGTCATTCATTCTGCCCATTCTAACATTCAATCGAACAGTAACTGAATGCCTCGATGCCT